ACAGGTTGCCAAACATGCTTGTTGATGTTAACAGGGCATAAAGCTATAAATGGATATGACCTGCTTTAGTTACTTCAATTGTGACAATGCAGAACCATTCTAGAACCACAGTTTAGAAGCACTGAGGTGTGACATGCAATCTTATGTTCATTGTAATAGACACAATAAATACCCCTTGTGTATGTGTTGATAAAGTGCTGTATTAAAAGTTAAAATGAAAACAAATGGAACATCTTGATTGTACACTAGTAGGTGGTACTGAGTGGAAAGCAGTCTGACTTCATAGAACAGGCATCAACCTTTTTATTTTTATCTGATAAAAACATGTTTTTGTCAGCTAGAACATTATTTCATTGCACAAATAGCACCAAGTAGGGCTGGGTATCGAGTTCGATACTTTTTAGGCACCGACCGAAATGCCTTGATACCATCAAGTATCAAAAAAACGTCTCGTCGTTTGGTACCAAATTTCGATACCTAAGGGGTGAATCTCATCAGTGTCAGTGAGCCAACAAGCCTGCAGCACTAGCCCGGTGTGTTCGACTAGAGGCGCGGCGCAGATCGATCAGTGTTTGACATCCGCGAGAGCGATTCTAATGCGTGCGGAAGCAGTCTGCTCTCTTTATCTCTCGTGATACTGTAATACACCGATCGGTCTTCACAGTCAGTCTGCGTCAAGTCGAACACACCTACTAGTTAACACCGGTTAACGTCCCAGCCCCCTTAGATGTAAGGCTACTTTATCACTGGTGCGTTTATGTTCTAAAATGAAAACGATCCTGGTCATACTAGCGTTTCCACTATGTTTCAAGCTGGCTTTCCACTATCTCCAACAAATGACAAGCAACAGACCGGTCATTCAGTCATTCATTTCCAATGGAGAGTAGCGCGGGAGCTGCGTGGAGTTCCGATCATATGCAGATGTCCGTTCATACTAACGTTACACGACCGAAAGCGCGTTCTATGTGACCATTCATGCAAACTGTAGCATCATGCTACATAAGACAATAAATAAGATTTATATTCCGCTTTTACTCAAAGCTCACTTTAAACCACCATCGAGTGTTTGTAATAACTTCCGATTGCGGTCTGTGTGTTTTGGCCATGTAATGTTGCTTAAATTAAATATGATATTACCTCCTAATTAGTCAGAGCAGCGATCATGGAAGAGAGAACACAAGCAGACAGCGCTGGAAGCTGCTAATGCTCATCAGTAAATCAGTGGAAAATAAATAGAAATCATGATTATGTCTGAGCTATGCGTTTTAAAACGAACACGCACTAGTGTAAATGTAGCCTAACAGATGTGTAAACTGAAGACTATTTGAGCTTTATTAAAACTATTTGCACTGATTTATTGTGTTGGTTACATTTTGTTCTTTTGTGCAGTGGCTCAGGAGATGAGTCTTTGAGTTTGTATAAACATCAACAAGCTGAAAAATAAAAGCAAAGTTTTTTTTTTTTTTTTTAGATAATGTAATCTTGTTCAAATTGATTTCATAAAATTGGTATCGAAAAAAGTATCGTTCAGGAACCGGTATTGAAGTCAAGGTATCGGTATCGATATCGAAAATTTTTGAACGATACCCAGCCCTAGCACCAAGACATTGCTTTGGAGGCAAAGTCCTTTGGAAGTGATGCAAAATTCACATTGTAGTGTTCAATGTGAAGTGTTAAAAACACTTAACATTCACATTTTTAAGTGTTTTGAACTCATGATGGACAACTAGCGAAACCTCTGGTCATGTCAACCTCATGTTAATTTGAATAAAACTCAAAGTGCTTTCTCCTTAACCTTTACCCTGAGAGACCATCACTCCTGATACATGATTCGTCCATACAAATCATATTCTTTGTACATCAAGTAGCTTTTCAGTCCTGGTGGGAAAGGACCTGAGTTAATGAACTTTGGGTCACCCAACCTTAGTGGAGTCATCTCTCTCCTGATGGCAAGTCTGCATTGGTGTTGCAGTGAACGAGGATTTCCTGGGAAAGTCATTTTTTTGTGATATGTTGTTATCTAATGCAATTGCATCCATATTTTTGTAAGTATAGCTGAAGTGTCCATGCTAGAATTGTTTATGCTACTCACCTAATATTTCTGATATTTCAGCCCACTCTTTATGACTCTTTAGAACCATTTTCAGCTTGGAGCAGATGAGAACATGATTGACATAGTCGAGGAGAACCCGCACAGCTCTTCCAGAGAACTGCACTAGCCAAGAGACGCTGATGAAATCACAAAACTACATGCAACAGATGATAGAGACAGAAGTAAAGATACATATGCCACATATATAGATAAAAAACAAATTTCCTTCAGAGGTAAGTAAGCTTAAAATGCATTAGCTCTGTTCCAAAACCTAGTGAGTTACCTTGCTATCTACTGTTTATGATTTTTAACATTTTACTGTTAGCATGTTGCTAAGCTAGCTTTAGCATAGACGTGCAAAGATTGGGTCAAATTTGGAACACTACATAGAAACTGACTTAAATTGAGCCGGAGACTCAACTCGTGTTTGATTTCAGTAGCGTGTCCTATTAGCATGTTGCTAAGATAATGCTGTCAAAGTAGCATAAAGTCAGTTTAAGTTGAATAAAAATACAAATATTGGGTAAAATACTCAATTTTGGTTGGATACTTTTAAGAATTGAAGGATTTATACACAAAAACATTTCTCTTGCTTTGTTCGCCATCTTGGGTTTATTTTTAACTGAGTTATACATTTGAGAACAAATGTCTGGAATGTGCATACGTTGGCAACTTACTAGGTTTTGGAACAGACATTATGGGTGAACTTACTGGAACCTTCTCACTGGTATGTTCTGAGGAGCGACCCCATGTTGAGTCATGAGGACAACAGAAGCATTTTTCTGCATCATAACCACTGTTTAACAGCAGTCGCATCATCATCTCATCCCTCAGGCAGTATTGTAAGGCAGTGGGAAACACTGTGTCGTTGACCTCTGTGAAGTAGCAGTTCACATCTGCTTGGCTGGCCAGGAGAATCCTGACAATCTCATACCTCCCAGCTCTCACCGCCACTAGAAGGCAGTGCAGGGGATCCAGGTCCGTTTTGGCTCCTGCGTTTAACAGCAACTGGGTGCCGGTCACATCTCCATTGGAGACCGCAAAGTACAAAGCGGTCTTTCGCATATCTCCATACTTCTCAGAAACATGTGTGTCTAGAAGAGCGTTGACATCGAAACCTCTGTCCACCAGGAGTTCCATGCATCGGACATGGCCTCCATCTGCAGCTGCATGAATTGGGCTCTGGCCTGAGAGACGGAGGGCTCTCCTTGTGGTTACTGGGATTAACATTCTTAAGGCGCTGTAAAGAGAACTAGATTTGAACATTTTCTGAAGAAAATTAATGGTGGGTCTAGTTACGCCATAACCTTCAATGCCTATTTTAGGAGTTAGTGGCGAATTCCATTAGATTTGTTGTATAAAGGCAAATCTTGCAAGGCTAATGCTGTCGATTTCCAATTCCAAAGTCCAGTTTAACTTTAGGTAGAGATCGGAGTGACGAAACTAGCAAAGGATTAGCATATTTTGTAAAACTTACAGGTAATGCCCTTTGTACGCTGCACAGTGGATGGGAAGCTGTAAGGAAAGATTTGCGATGTTGGGATCAGATCCATGTTGAAGTAAAAGTTCAATGCAGTCAGGATTGCCAGAGCCAGCAGCATCATATAGCACGCTGTCTCCATTTGGCGCCTGAGCATTTACATCGCCACCTGTTGGTGTGGAGGACATCATGGTTTAGTGTTAGTTTAATATAAATATGTAAATTTATAATGTGAATCTGTATAAACATTCTTATATATTTTTTTCTAGAAACATCGGTTAACCAGTATTACCATAGTGAATAAGGATGTCCAGCGCCTCTGCTTGTCCGTACTCTGCCGCAATCCCCATGGGCGTCACTCCATGCTCATCTGTCTCCGAGACGTTCCCTCCATGTTGCAGCAGCAGCGTAAGAATGTCAGTGCAGCCCACCTTGGCCGCCTCATGAATGGCAGTCCACTTTTTAGGGCAGGCTTGGTTCACAGATGCCCCCCGTGATATAAGTGTAAAGGCGATTTCAAATGAGTCTGTTCTTACAGCTCCAAAACAAAACACAAGAACTTTTTATGAAGGGACTAAAGACACTAAAGAAATTGCAAATGAGACCTACCCAGTAATAAAGGGGATTCATTTTTGCTGTTTATTCTGTTGGGTGAAGCTCCGTGCTCAAGCAGAGTCCTAACAATCTCCACCAGCCCAGCTTGAGTCGCCAAAATCATTGGCGTCTCTCCATCTGCGGTTTCCTCCTCTAAACGCAACCTGTAAGAACCTTTTCAACCACTGAGTGTTGTATGAACGTATCAGACTTGAAACTTGATACAGTTAATTGTAGTCATTTTGTTTTGTTCGTTTGGAAAAGAAACAAGCGACCATTATTTTAAATGAGTCACTGAATTATTCACTCAACCAATTTGTTCAAAAACCGTTATTAATTCAGGAACTTAAACAAGTGACTCTTATCAGTCATTGAATCATTTATGTAAATGATTCATTCGGTTTCAGTTCATTCAGTGTATTGATCTGAGGCAATGGTTGATTCTGCTGTGACATTTGTTTGGGAATATTTTAACTGGCAGAGCAAAATGGGTCAAAGTATCTTGCAATATTGTGTCCAAAATGTAAGTTAATCAGAATTAATTTCTTGTTTTTTGAAATCGCTCACCATAAAGGACCATCTCCAGTACCTGCACAGATTGCTGGACAGCAGCTCTATGAATTGGGTACCACCCCTTGCTATCCACCTCAGTGAACGCGGCAGGATAGTCCGACAGCTCCTGCAGAGCAAAGAGGTCACCTGTGGGGCCAGATAAAATTACCTAATTGATAATTAGGTTGACAATTACTTAGCTAATTATCATCATTTAACAACTTAGTTCAATGAAATTAAATGATGTGTATTTTCCCTTTAACCTAATTGTTTTACAGCAAGCGTAAAATCTGGTGGGAATTTCACCTCGAAATATTGCATCCAAGATCTTTTGATGTTCCACACTGGATTTATTTGCAGGATAGAAAAAGTGGATGGTAATATAATGTTTACTAAGATATGTTTGCTTTATTTCAAGATTCCAAAAGGCAACTTCTTATGTGAACATCACACCTTCCGAGAGAGGCGATTTCTTTACATGACTCTTCAATGCTCAGTTGGATTGCAGCATCAAGAAGGTCATCATCCTCATCTAGGTCACCTGATGGATCCATTTTCCTGGAGGTAAATAAAAACCTTTTATGTGAACACATGGAGAGTAATAGAATGTTTTTATTCACATTGTTTGTGATCTGTTATAAAAGTCATCTTTGATGTCAAGTGTATTCTCAGAATAGTTTAATATGACACTTTAGTCATATAACCAAAAGGTTGAAGTGACCACTCAGTTTCTATAAAGACACTTCTGCTGTAGTTAAAAGGAATTCACTTCGTCTGTCTTTCAAAGTAGCGGTTTTCACAGAAACACTTACATTTTTACAGTCCTCACAGCCGAACAGGCATATTTCAACACTTATACACAGCTGGAAACTAACTTTGCGTTAGTTTCAAGGAAATGCTGAACTAGAGCATGCACAACCGACACTTCGTCCGCCACTTCCAATGAATCATTCACACTTCACCGAACAGTAAACAAAGGCTGTAATCTCACCTTGTGAAATACAGTTCCAGTGAAATCACGCGTCTCTCACTGCTGTGCAAGTACTTTAGCTACACTCAGTCTGAACTTGAGTGCCCCCCTTCCCATGCTCAAAACAGCTACAGATATGCATCTAAATTTGGCGTTCACCTGCTCTGGTCTTTGCCATGCACACCATTAAAGTCAAATGACCACATAATCGCTTGATTTTTTTTATGTGCATTAAAATACATATATTTACACAGCTTGCAAATAAGCATCTGTAATTTGAAATTAATAATTTACAAAATTACAATTTATTTCATGTTAATACAGTACATCAAATACAATTACTGCATTGCCAACAATTTGTCAACGTTTGTATACAGTCATACAGTATACATTTTTATTGCCTTCTATAAATGTAATTGACCCATACAGAGTGCAGCTACTGATATACTGTATACAGTGCAGGCATAACTTTGCAGCTGGGGAAATCCCAGACTCACTGCATTATAGCCACCATGTGTTCAATGAATAACTAGAGAAAACAATCTTGGAAAGTCTCGCAGTGGCTTGAAAAAATTCTTCAATTGTCTTAATGTTTAATCTTTTACAAGTATTGGGCAATGTGCTGGATTTCGACCTACATGGTCAAAACAAGGAATGAATAAAGGAATAAAAACGGGAGTTATGAGGTTGGATTATGAAAGAATAACTACGAATGTGAGCGTAAATATAAATTTGAGTTTACAAATTAACAGCATGTTTATAAACAGTCTTTGAAATTTCAGGTTTGGTGATTATGAGTGTTTGGTTTAAAACTGTATTTAAAAATAGAGGGTGGTATAGAAAAAATAGAGTGTACAATTGGAAAGAGTAGGATAATAGACAATGACAAAAATAGAGCTTTGTTCTGACTCAAAGCATCTAGAAGGAATTTAGAATATGAAACAAAGTATAAATGACAGCGTAGCAGAAGAAACCTTCGTAATAGCGCACTGTCAAACGGACATATGAAATGACATTTTATTTAATATTCAAGACAGTTACAAAATCATTTTAATCACTGTACTATATAGGATTCACCATATTGCATGAATACAATTAACATTTTAAAATGCTATTTTTGTTCTAAAACTTGATCCATAAAGTACGAATTTGGTATACAAACAGTTATTGTGTAAAGAAATTGTTACATCAATTAATTTATGTAAATGACAATAATGTACAGTACATAATACAATATGTAACATTCAGTGAAAGAATATTCAGACAAGAAAACTTACATTCATTGTTATAGTTGTATTGATTAAGTCAGATCATATTCCTTGTACAGCAGGTAATTTTTAATCGGAGGTGGAAAAGGATCCATTATAACGGTATTACAGAGTCTTTTAATGGTCATGTGTTTTCTGATTTCCAGACGACAGAGGTGCTTCAGGGATCATGGGTTGTCTGGAACAAATTCAAAAGCTATTAGGCTGCGTTCCCTGAGACTAGAGAACCATCGATCTGTTGCTAGAGAACAGGTACTATTCTCACATGCATTTGGTCATTTTGAGACTCTGAACTGTAGTTTGCAGAAGTTTCTTAATTTGACCCAGAATGAGAGTCCCGTATGTCATAAAAAAGACTGGCTGAACAGATAAATAATTAAATGTGAACCCAGTGAACTCACTCAAGATGGTGTATATCTCTTCCCACTCCTTTTGTTTCTCCAGATTGGATCTCAGACGTGAGCAGAGGGGGACGCGGCTGACATAGTCCAGTAGGATCAGTACCGCTCGTCCCGACAGGTCAACCAGGCAGCACGGACTCATGAAGTCACAGAACTCAGATGTAATAACAACATAAACATAGCAATTTAAATGTCATAATATTATTTTAGTAATATAAAATAAATGGTAACACGTACAATAATGTTCAGTTAGTCATTGAACTTGGTATCATAATTAACACTGAATAACATTTTTGACAGCATTTAATATTCTAGGTTAATGTTTATTTATAAATATTTGTTAATTCATGTTCGTTCATTAATTAATATTCATTTGTACAACTTTAAATGTTAAAGTATATATGTAGAAATTTTAATTAACCCAGATTAATAAATGCTATTTTGTGACACCTAATGATAACAAATAATTTTTTTAGAATATATTACTAAATAAGTAAATGTTCAATTATAGTGTCTTTATTCTGTTCCAAAACCTAGTGGGCTGCAACCAGTGATTGCTATATTGAACGGAAAGAGACTGAGAACTACAGCCAGCTGAGGTGAGAAAAAGTATTGCAAAAGTATCATAATCCATTACTTTAACACTATTATAATGCATTACTTAATTTTGAAACAAACTTGACGGTTAGACACCAACCGAACGAAAGTTGTTCATTTCCGATGAGAGGTGGTGCTTGAGCCATTTTGAGTGAAAGTGACCACTAATGCAACAAAGATCAAATTTTATGCAAATGAGCAAGGGCACAACGATTGGCAATAGAAGAAAAGACATTGGAAAGGACATTGTTGATGTCATGTTGCTAAGATAATGCCAAAATACACTAATAATCACAAAAAAATATGTAGTGCACAAAATATTAGGAGAAGCAGTCTCATTTTAAAGGGTTAGTTCATGCAAAAATGAAAATTCTGTCATTAATTACTCACCCTCATGTTGTTCCAAACCTGTAAGTCCTTCGTTCATCTTTGGAACACAAATTAAGATATTTTTGATGAAATCCGAGCGCTTTCTGACCCTGCATAGACAGCAACGAAACTGACACGTCAGTCCCCGCTGACAAAAATATCTTAATTTGTGTTCTGAAGATGAACGAAGGTCTTACAGGTTTGGAACGACATGAGGATGAGTAATTGATGACAGAATTCTCATTTTTGGGTGAACTATCCCTTTAGTTACATAGAGCTGTCTTTGGCCCTGTTTACACCTGGTATCAAGATGCGAATAATGAAATGAAAAATGTGACAAGCACATTGTGTTCTTACCAGTCCTGATTCTACCACAGCCCCCCAGCTTTCGCCATAGTTTTGCAGCTATCAAAGCAAAAACGAAAGCTGCTGCTGTCCATATCATTTTCCGTTGTCTCCTTTAGCATTCATAAGTACATTGTGTGAGTGTATTTTGCAATTTTAGATTGAAAGATCAGAAAAGGCCCATACATATTCCCCCCTATCAAAGAAATCAGGAAAGTGGTCAAAAATGGTTGAAAGTGGACAAAAGAGACAATCGGCTATCTTAATACCAGGTGTAAACAAGGCCTTTCTGTACATTTTGCACTACTGAATAAATTTACAATCAGTATAATCAGGTATATTTCGCTTGAACCTGCGATCTTCGATGACAGTTTTTAACCTGGCATAGTGTATTCTGGGATTTCTCTCATGACGCTTCCTTAGAATTTATCTAAAACAAGCCCTGTGTTCAAATATGCCGCCTTCCGTACTATTTGGTAGGCAAAAAAAATAGTACATGAGCTGAGTAGTACGTCCAAATCATAAAACAGCTGGCAGAAATTACCCAGATAACCTACTACTTCCATCTGTGCACAACTGATGGACACTTTACTATCCCATGAGGCCATGAGACAGGAGTTGTGAATGGCAGTGAAGTGACACAACTGGTGCTGTAGGTAACATGATAGTGAGAGCATGGCAGTTGTAATGCGTCGGAATGTCATTCATACTACACCCATTCATACTATATCGAACATGCTTTTAATAAGTCACAAAGTAAGTTTCAAACCAAATGTAGTATCTACTATACTATGCTGCTATTTGAAAAAGTGGTTAAAATGCGTGTAAAAGTGTGCTTAAAATATTGTCTATAGCTATGTTTCCATCCAAAGATGCAAATTTAACTTATGCGCTGGAATATCGCATAAAACATTTGCGAATAAAGCACCGTTTCCATCCATTGAGTCAAAGAGAACAAAATCATCACTTCCTGATAAACTGGCACTAAATATCACTAAGAAAAGTAGGAGAAGCCACTGAATATAATAATTTTCATATATGATAAATTACTTGACGAAACACAATAAATGCGGTTATTGCTTTTCGGAGGTGAATGCCAGCTGTTTGTGAACACCGTCGTGTTAGACAATTATACAGAAATACTTTGATGACGCAAGCATTTCAGAACGACCAAAAAAACATTTCAGATGTGGTGCAATGAGATTGGTCCACTGGTTAGTTAAGTTATCCCGTCCCATCACGCAAACTCACATGACTTTTTTGATGCACATGGTGGAATTTATTCGGTAAATGTGATTCCATCGTAGTTTATGTGCATTTTTTCTTATCGGATAAAAAGTTGATCCTACTCAATTGTGCGTATAAGTTTTTGATGCGCATTTTTAAAATGTATGCACATCTTGGCATTTCCATCCAGGGTTTAGTTTTTGTTGTTTTTTTTGCACTGTTCCAAACTAGGTGGATGGAAACGTAGCTTATGTAGGCTTTGGAACAGAACTTTTTGTAATCGGGCCCAAAACTCACAGGTATTTTCTTGTCTCCTCCATCACAGATATCACAACATGGTTTATGTAGATGCATGTCCTTCCAAGCAAACCTCATGTTGAAATGGAAATCATGGTGACAATGGAAACATTCATCTACATCATATCCTTTATTAAGAAGTAATCGCATCATCTTCTCATCCCTCAGGCAGTATTGTAAGGCAGTGGGAAACACTGTGTCGTTGACCTCTGTGAAGTAACAGTTCACATCTGCTTGGCTGGCCAGGAGAATCCTGACAATCTCGTACCTCCCAGCTCTCACCGCCACTAGGAGGCAGTGCAGGGGATCCAGGTCAGGTTTGGACCCTGCATTCTAGTGATGGGAAGTTCGGCTCTTTTCAAATATTCTGCTCTTTTGGCTCGGTTCCCTTAGAAGAGCCGGCTCTTACGGCTCCCAAATGGCTCTTTATTCAGTATCACTCGGAGCCTTCTATTTTAGCCCAATTTAGCAGTTGTGAATGGTTTGTGTGTTGGTAAGCACATTTTTTATTCAGTATTTTCATAAAAGCCTTATTTTCATGCATTTTTTTCGTTACAAAAAAAATAATACACAGATACTATTATTTAACATTTTAATAAAACTTTAATTGAACACAGAACCACAGCAAACAAATAAATAAAGGCAAAAGTCTTAACATTTAGACTTTAGTGTAGGTTGGCATTCAGAAATATCAGATGCCTCAGCTTGGATGTGCTGATGCAATTTCTCCTCTCTGTGATTATTTGTCCTGTTTTTGAGAAGACACTCTCTGAGGGGACCGATATTGCAACAATTCAGTGTCTTCCTACCATTACCTTAACCAATGCGCTTGCGTTTAAATCCTGATCCCCCGTCTCTCTGTCACTCTGTGTACCTGGCCTTTACCACTACACTACACTACACTCTTCAGAGATTGTGTCCCCATTCCTTCTTTCACATAATGATATGATCCTAGTCTGTCCTCCCATGTGATTAGCCGCATGTGTATTTTCTTATTTTTTAACGAAAAATGCATAAAAATAAGGCTTTTATGAAAACACTAAATTAAAAAATTTCTTAACAAACACACAAGCTATTCACAATTGCCAAATTTGCCTAAAATAGAAGGCTCCGGCTGAAGATCACTTAGAGCCGGCTCATTCGCGAACGACACATCACTACTGCATTCAGCAGCATCTCAGTGCAAGTCACATTTACATTTGAGAAGGCAAAGTAAAGGGCGCTCCTATGCATGTCGCTGTAGTTGTCAGATATGGTTTGGTCAAGTAGAGCATTCACATCAAAATATCTGTCAATCAGGAGCTGCAGGCAATGCGCATGACCTCCATCTGCAGCAGAGTGTACTGGACTCTGGCCAGACTCTGTGAGAGCTGTCTTGCTTGTGACTTGTGACTGAGATCAGTATTTTTAACACTCTGTAAATGGAATTGGTATAGCTTGGGTAAATATATGTGTAAGGTTCTTTTGATCACTTTTTACTCTGACTGTTAATAGGGGTTTCTTCAGCTTTTGTCACTGGGGTTGATTTTTATTAAAACACACTTTTATGAAAATGAATGTCACATTAAACTGACTTTGAAACTTGATTCCATGTCAACATTTATTTTTCCCAATTTAATTTTCCCAAATGCGTTTTTATGTAGATTTCCATCAAATACATCATAAAGAATTGGATCATTATGTATAATTTTGAGATATTACAAAAGAGTGAAATGCACATAAACCAAACCAAAATCTATATTTTTAAAAATGATTTAAATCGATTTCTTAAAGGGGTCATATGATGCGATTTCAATTTTTTCCTTTCTCTTTGGAGTGTTACAAGCTCTTGGTGCATAAAGAAGATCTGTAAAGTTGCAAAGACTAAAGTCTCAAATCCAAAGAGATATTCTTTATAAAAGTTAAGAGTCAGCCACACCTACCTAAAACGGCTCGTTCTAACACGCCCCCACATATCTACCTCACTATGTGGGAAGATTTGCATAACGCCGCCCAAATGTTCACGCAAAGAAAGAAGGCGTAACTTTTATTCTCGCTGTAGTTTTGTTGCCGCTGCCGCCATGTCCTGAAGACGCTTCGTTGTGAAAGCGAAACTACTTTGTTTGGTCTTCCAAAAGAGGACGATATCCACTTCTTCATGCCTGGAGCTGATCCGTGCTAGTCGCTGAGGTAATACATCAACTTAGTGCTGTGGATCGTCGGATCGGCTTTCACCGTGGACGAAGCCTGGGGGTTGTCACATGTGCTTGCCGCTCCTTCGTCGGATCCGCCGGGCGCGCCGTTCTCGACCCCGCCGCCTCTGCTCACTCTAGCCCGG